TATTATATCTTCGCTGTGCTCATGGAGAAACTGAGGTACAGATGTTGTGACTTTCTTTAAAGGAGTGAGCTTGATTCAAAGAGGTCCAGCTACCACCATATCCCGTGTTATTTGCATAGTGCACAGCTACCTACCTCTCAACACAGGAAGAAAATACGAACACAGATCAGGCACTAGGCAGACACAAAAGACGAGGGCGAGGGGGAGGGGCTTATTTAGAGAGAGGGAGAAGCTGTCCTTGCTGATGTGCAGGCCAGGGTAGCCAGGGGATAGATAATATGGCTGGTGACAGTCAACAGTAATCAAAACGAATGTGACCGCTGACCGGCCCTGCCTGGGCTTAAAGCAAGAGCTGGAGGCTCACTTCCAAATGAGCAATTTGAAAAAAGTTCAGGGACTTCCCCCCTTCTAATTTAAGTCGCAGACATCCCGGGAACTATGCTTTGCCTGTGCGGTGATACGTAGCTGAACTGTTTGAAATAGAAACCCCCAAATGCCACAGAGGACAGACATGAACATTTGATGTTCCTTGTCCCAGCCCAAGTCCCCAGAATCCAGCCTGTCTACACAAAGAAGGACACTTTTGTGACTGCAGAGGACATGGCTTCTTTGCCAGCGTCTTTTTATTTTTATTTTTTTTTCACAGAAGTCCATTTGGGTTTTATCATTTCTGTCTTTGCAAAAATAGTTGAAACAAGTTCTGATATAGCATGTATTAAGAATGTTAGGGCATGGGCTGGAGAGATGGCTCAGAGGTTAAGACCACTGACTGCTCTTCCAGAGGTTCTGAGTTCAATTCTCAGCAACCACATGGTGGCTCACAACCATCTGTAATGAGATCTGGTGCCCTCTTCTGACCTGTAGTCGTACATGCTGTATACAAAATAAATAAATAAATCTTAAAAAAAAATAAAAAAAAAAGAATGTTAGGGCACTAACAAAGTCACCTACCCTGGAGTATCCTCAGTCCTTACTGTGTGCCTAGGAAAGCATTATGCAAGTGACTTGAGCACAAATAAACTGGGATATTTAAGAAAGTTCCCAGTGACTCACCTGTCAGAAACTATCATCTGCTTTGATCTAACTGTAAAGTGTAAGCCAATCCTGACACATCAGGTCTAAACTTGTTGGATGTCTCTATCCCCGTGAACACCAGCTCATAAAAGATGTGTATGGTGCCATGTACCAGCGATGCTTCAAAGAGCTCTCCATGTCCGTCATCCGATGATGCAGTCAGCAAATGTTCATTGAGTCCAATTGCATCTGTTGACAATTTCAGTGACTGAAGTATCGTGGATGCGAAAGTCCTATGTCAATCTTTCTTCAGTTCAATCTAATTTTCTGCTCATAATTAAGATATCATTTAATTTCTCTCCATTCTGTTCATTCCTATCTGACACAAGAAGTTGTACAAGGTGTAAGATATCAAGTTCTCTAAGCTTTGGAACAAGAAGCGAGAAAATGTACCCCAATAGATACTTACTGAAAGTGGTAGGGAAATTGAGTGTATACCCAGTCATGTGGGTACACATGCATACACACACAATCCATATACACACATGCACACACACACATGCACATACACACAATGCACACACACACACACACAATGCATATACACACATGCACACACACAATGCACATACACACATGCATACACATACATACAGTGATTTTTTTAACTGAAAGCGAGTAAACATGGTCCCCATATTGCTCAGAAATACTTTTAAAATAAACTCATTTCTTTAATATATTGTCCTCCCCTTCATCTTGCCAAGCCTCAGACTTAATGGATCATTTTAGCTGGGCTAGGAATGTGTGGCAATGCTCTGTGTGAGGGACTTTGCCAAAAAGCTGTCTGAAACTACATAGTAATTCACAAGAAAGCTGAAACCACACTGAATCCTCTCCCACCTGCAAGAAAGCCAACCCCACATCCAATAAAACATGATCATCCTGTTTCCTTTGGCCTCTTTTAAACTTTCTGAAAAGTATGTAAACTTGGTCTCAGTTCTAGCTCTGTCAGGTTAAAGCCTTTTATCTCCCAGAAGAGCTGTTACCAGGGCTCCTTTTATTCATTAGGACATTGTGTGTGTATGTGTGATGTCGGTAAGAAATAGATGAACATAGACTTATTGAACTAAAAATATGGACTCCTAGGCTGAATTAAAACAGAAATTCTTGGTGTAGGTAGTGTTTGGTTCACAATCTACCAATGACTGAGTCTTCTTCTACTTCCATATTTTTAGTTTCCAGCCTCCTTCACCATTCCCCTAATCCAAGGTTCTGGAAGAAAATAGAAACTTGATCTCCTGATTTTATGATGAAAATAAAAACAAACCACAACTAAAAATCAAAGCTAAACCAAGCTGGGACTAAGATGGAACTATACCAATGCCGCACACCTCACCTTCTCCAGGAAATTCTAGAGATTGACTGGACAGCAGACTCTGCCACCACAGGAGAGGCTTCCTAGAAAAACCTGCCCACCTGAGCAGAAGACCCCAATGTTCACGACACAGTGAATAATGAATCTTCCCTAGAGAAAGCATCAGGGAACTATTTGTCCCTCTGGAACTCAAGATTTTTTGGTGTTTATCTTAAATGCAAGTTTCTCTTTCCCACTTTATCCCAAATGTTTTTAACTATCCAAGTGATCTGAAGACAGAGCAGAGGGTCAATAGAGACAACATCCAACCAGTTCCGGCAATGAGGCATAGGCTAATGCAACATTGCTGTAGCAGAAATAAAAATGCATGGTCACTAAGTTTTATGCATTGTGTCCAAATGCTGCCTTTTAAAGTTCTAGAAGATGTTTTATGACATAAGGGAAACACTCTCAAAATCCTACTTACATTGTGCATGTTCTCAACAGCCCCCTCTTTCTCCAGGTAAACTGAATCCTTAGACCACAAGCCTGTGGGATCCAAAGGAGGCCTGATTAGGTCCTTCTACGAAGCACTTTGCTAGATTTTTGTTGTTGTTGTTGTTAGACAAAAGAAGGGTTGTTTCAGGGTCTCTTGACAAGCACAAAAGAGATTTGAAATTTTCCCTTTGTGAACATACCAAGTAAACATGCATGCTGGGACAGGCTTGGTATCTAAGATGGCCTAGTGATATCTTCAAAAAAGACAAGGCACAGAAGGGAGTGAGCCGTGCAGGCAAAGGAATGACTAGGAAAAGCCCAAAGAGAGAATTTGGAATTCTAGGCCCCACTTACCTTGGGCTAACCTTGGCCCCGAGATACCTAAGCACTCCTTGTAGACCTTTCCATCAGTCCTTCTAATTCGTAAGTCGGGATATTGTGAAAATCCTTATAGTTTTAATAGAAAGGCCATGAGACTGCAGATCTTCCTATCTTCAATACACAATGGCCTGGCAGACCCAAATCCAATAGGATTACTGACCCTCACAAATTAGCTGTTTCCTGAGCATCCTTGGGGATACAGATGGAATCCAGGAGTGGTGGTGCGTGTGTGTAATCTTGGCCCTTGGGAGGTAAAGGCAGAAATATCAGGAGTTGAAAGTTACCCTAGCTACATAGTGAGTTCAAGGCTTGCCTACGCTACATGAGACCTGTCTCAAGAAAGACACTGGTGCCTTTTTTTTTTATGCTAAAAGGACCTATTTTGGTCCTGAAGAATCCCAGTGTCAAATCTTTATGAGAACCAGGGGAGTCCAAATTTGTCCTAGGATAGACTCAATCTTTGAGAATAAAAAAGGAAGAATCAGAAAAGGGAGTGGAGGTGCTGATGCTGGCCGAGGAGGAGAAGAATATTATCTAATGATTCCACACCTGCCTCGCATAATTATATCACACAGACTTTCACTAATTGCAGTGAAAATGTCTAAGACAGCTTTCATGTTCAATAGATCAGGAAACCAATGAAATTACTCTCCCAAAGCCATTTATTTATTCAAAAAATATTTGCATGGTAGCCAGAACTCTTTGAGCTGCCAAGGAAACAATGGCGATGAACAGAGCTATACCTTTGCAAAGCTCACATTTTAGCCAGGTATTTCAAACACGATTACTATTATTAGTCATGATAAGAAATGTGTGTTAAACTATCACATAATATATACACATAATCTATATCTATATCTATCTATATCTATCTATCTATATCTATATCTATCTACATCTATATCTATCTATATCTATATCTATATCTATCTATCTATCTATCTATCTATCTATCTATATATATATATATATATATATATATATAAAGTTTTCACACACAAACTCTGTTGCAGGGTGACCGGATACTTTCTGTTGTATTCTTTTTTATGCCCATCTATCAGTTATTTTTCTCATTGCTATAATAAAATATATGACCAAAGCAGCTTAAGGAGGGAAAGGTTTGCTCTTTGCTCACAGTGCCAGGGTTCAGTCCATCAGGGCAGAGAAGTCATGGCATCTGGAGGTGGAGGCAGCTCCAGACTGTATCCAGTCAGAAAGCAGAGTGATGAATACTGATGTCAGCTTGTTTTCACTATTTTATTTAGTTCAAGACTCCAGCCCATGAAATGGCACTGTCTACATTTAGGGTGGTTCTTCCTACCCAATTAACCCAATCTAGAAAATTCCCTTACAGACAAGCCCAGAGGTTTGTCTCCATTATGACTCTAGACTCTTTCAAGCTGACAATCAATATAAACTATTAGAGAACTAGTCATAATAAGTTCAATTGATTTTATGATCCAATAATGAGTCATGATCCAATTTGAAACAGGCTGCCTTGAAGAGAATGGAGATAATTCAGCATGTCTTCAAAGACTGAGAGTCTTCTGCATGTATTTCAGTTCTAGTTGCTGTTCCTTCATGTGCTTAATGTACAGTCCAATGGCTAGGGAAAGGAAGGTGAGGAATGGAAGACGTCTATCATTTGGGTTTGACAGAAACCATCTTTAACTCCAGCTCAGATTTCCTAAGATCTTTCCCTCTTCTTCAAGTTAGCCTTCTGTTTGCTCCAGCCCTTTGTCTCTCCACACAGGCTGACAACAGAATATCCAGGCCACTATGGGGAAGAAATGGACATGATTTCCTATAACTATGACTACTACATCCGAGGAGCAACAACCACTTTCTCTGCAGTGGAAAGGTGAGGAGGGTCACCCTTTTCCAGTACACTCCGGGTTAGAGCTGTGTGGATTCCTTCCTTGCTGAGATCCTGACTGTGGGTATTTTTACCAACTGACCTCCATGTGTTAGTGTCCTACTTAGTCAAGGATTAACTGTGGGTTTGGTTAGGTAGCAGGAGCCTGAGAAGTGAGAGTCCTCAGGAACCTGCCGCACTAGGCAGTGTGACCTTTCCAAGGAGGACAGATACCAGCCTACTCCACAGCAGAGTCCCAAACTTGATATCAGCATCCCTTGTTGTTCTGAGCAATTCCTCACTCAACTTCAGAAGGCACTTGACATGTCAAGAACAGGTTGGAAAGATGGAAAGAGTATTCACTGTCAAATTGGACTCTCTTAGTCCTGTGGCTCTGTGCGTTCCCCACGTAGAACTGTAGGAAGGGGGATAGAAAAGCAGAGGAGGAGACTGACAAGGAAGAACACATAAAATCCATTCTCTCGTTATGTTCAGTCTGCTAGAACACAACACCTGGGACTGGATAATTTATAAAAACCAGAAATCTATTGCTCACAGTCCCAGAGGCTGGGAAATTCAGGATCAAGGAAGGAGCAGACATGTGATGAGGAACACTCTTTTCTTCAAAGATGGAACCTCTCACTGTGTCCCCACACAGCAAGGGACAAGGGATAAATAAAACAGCTGCACTGAACCTACCTACCAAGGAACTAATACCTTTGACAAAAGTAGCATCTTTTTGACATAATCAGCCCCACAACCCTTACCTCTTAGTGCCACTTAGTGTTATACGACTGCATTGGACATTAGTTTCCAGCACACAGATGTTGTGACAGACGTTAATGTGCAGACCATGTGATCAAACTAATCATATCCAGTAATGAAAAAGGAGTACGTCATTCCATGATGAAGAATCTTTAATGAAAAGATTTGAGTAACAAGGAGAAAAACAGCACCAACCCACCCACCCACACCTCTACCCCTTCCCTCTTCTCCCATTAATCCTTTGTGGTCCTCTCCCAGATACATCAAAACAATAAGAAAACAAGGTTCAAAATTCCTGTAGACATGATCTTCATGTGGACCTTGTGGTTAGTTCTCTATTCATACATGAAAAAACGTGGAGAAATTCAGATGCTAAGAGTTGATGCGACTCCTTTTAATCAGGTGATAACAATGTCACACGAAACTGAATTCCAGGAAGATCCCCCACTTGGGTTTTGCAAACCAAATAAAACTGACAGCAGAGTCTCATTAGCTAACAGACTGAACAATTCGAGTGCCATTTGTCTCTTGTGTATATGCTTTCCATTGAAGTTGCATCTCACTCAACTGCTGTTAACTTATTTAGTATGGAATAAAAATTTTAAAGCTATAAAATAGCTCTGGAAAAGCACATTGTGTGTTCCAGGCCCCACAAACAAAGATTCTTGTTTCCCCACAGGAGAACGTCTCAGTTTTCATATGGAACTTGTTTTTGTTTGAGATAGGGTTTTAACTTAGTTACCCATTTTCTTAAAGCTACAGTTTAAGAGGGGAATTGTACTTAGGATAAACTCATGCCACTGAGGAGAAACAAATGAGTGGTGTGGCACACAGCAAAATATTTAAGAAGAGAGAGAAAGACCCACGAACTCAAAGAGCATGGAATTCTAACACCATTGAGTAACACAATGGCTGCCAAGTTCAGAACACAGTACCAGTGTCCAGTGCTCCTGAAGATTCCCCAGGCTAAAGGGGAAATTGGTTCTGAGTTTTCGGGTTATAAATATAACAGGAAATGAAAACTGTAGTGAAGGAATATCACCCAAAATTGGTGTAAAATAAATAATTTTTTTGCAGTTGAAACGGCCAGTTCTTGCTGGCTTGAAAATGATTAGTTACATAAATTGTATAGAGTCACTGAAGACTCAGATGCGGGGTATCTCTGTTTTCAAATGAATCCCTCCTCCTCCCAGACAAAATAAAACGAGCATGCCCATGTAATTTTGCTGTAGTCACCAACATTCAGTGGTTTGAAGATGCACAGCTTTCGTTTCTTCATTTCTGTTGAAGATGGTATGCTCACCCTCAACCCCACTGGACAAATTCCGTCAGAGCAAGGTCTTCCCTTCCATATGCAACTCACTCATGGAAGTCTCCTCCTGGAATAGTTTCTCATCCCGGGGTGAGATAATTCTTTGTTGCAGGTGTCTGTCCTGTGAGTCTAGGCACTAGGCCTACCCACTAAGTGTCACTGGAAGATACCTTCAGTGTGATAAGCAAAACTCTTTGCAGTCATTGCCAAATATACCATGGGAGCCACTTAGCCCCTAGTTGAAAGGTACTATTTGGGAGGGAAAACAGAACCTGGATGGACCCCTTGATTCTTTTCAGTCCAAGTCTAAATTTCTCTTAGCATCTATTAACTGCCCCTTAAATGAACAACACAAATGCCTGGCCCCGAGGTCTTTCTTATTTTCTTCACGCATAGGTACTCCCTTCTTAGCTGTGATAATTACATTCTCTTGGAAAACACACACTGCACCAGCTTGCTAATCATTTAAAGCAAGCCAGATCCTCTATGGATGATTTTGCAAGAACAAATATCAATGCACAGCTCATTCCCCCAGGCCCTCAAAGATGTGCTGGAGAATGCTATCCCCAATGACTCGGCATAGACAAGCTGGAAAAAACCGACTCAGATTTAGGAAGCTGGCCTTGGGCTATTTGCTTACCATCCTCATTCCCCACCTAGACTAGCGTTGTCATCCCCACACACCTCCCATTCAGAAGCTAGATGCAGGTACTGTCAGCCATAGTGTTTAGGACACACTGAATTAGAAAGAAGCCAGGCAAACTGAAAGGGGAGAAGGAGAAAAGCGTATGCTTTGGAAGAAATTGCTTGGTTGACTATGGATAAAGCAGTTCCACACTTTATTGGGATTATGCAAAGAGCATGACAGCTGTGTCCTCTGGTGACATTACAGGCCCCTGGCAATGGAAGCAGAGTTGTATAAGAGAAAGACCGAGGTTGGAGGCCAGCACACTTGAGATCTGATGTCATCATCTATCACTTGTAATCCTTCAAAGCAAGTCTTACTCCCTGAGCCTATTTCTTCACAAAACAATGAGTCACTGTGGGGATTATTGAGAGTACAAGTCATCCTCGAGCATCTAGTGCAGGGCCGGGCACACTGGATGTGCTAGGGACCTCACAGTGACAATGGTTGCTGTCATTGTTAAATAGTATCAGACCACAGGAGTGCTATGCGCTGTAGATATTCCCTACGTTTCTATTAAGTGGGTGAAAAAAGAACATGGTACTAAGCTTAGCAAACGCATGTATCCACACCATATTTTCCAAAACGGAGTAGTTCTATGCCCTCTCAAATCCATCCCACCACTTAAATAGGCTGTTCCCTTTCCAATAGGCAAGAACAGCAGGCATTTTCTTTCTCACTCTGTGTCTTGAGTAATCCCCACTCACCTTACATGTGGTTTTAAAGGGGAAACACACAGTGCATCTCCTGGATCCCAGCACATGGAGAGTACTGGGGAGAAAGAAAGTGTTGGCAGGGAAATCTTTTTAGAAGGAAGATTCTTCACAATGAAATGGAGATGATGCTAATAAATGCATTTACTCTGAGCCATGAACTCATAAATCCTGGAGGCACCTTGGAGGTTCAGCCATGGAGAACCGACCTCCAGCCCCCAATAAGAGCCTCCATATGGTCTGTAGCCGGCAAGGGGCCATCTAACCTTACAGACCCGTTGATACTCTGGAGACTTCATTGCAAAGTCTATTGAAAATGAGGTGAGGAATCCCCGCAGCTCTGAAATCCTGCCAAAGCCCTTCACTGCTTTTCCCAGCAGCGACTCTTTCTGTTCTCACTGACATTCGTCTTCTGGCTTTCCTCCCACAGGGATCGCCAATGGAAGTTCATAATGTGCCGGATGACCGATTATGACTGCGAATTTGCAAATGTTTAGATTTGCCACCTACAGAAATCCGGGTAGCGGGCAAGGGGCCAGGCGTCCCGGGGGTTTCGTGTCATATAGGCTAGTGTTGATTAGAACGTCTGCAGTTCTTCCTTTTTCCCTGAGATGGGAGCCTCAGTGTCGGCTGCCTGGGCCTTTCTCACCACGATTACACATATAAATAAATCCACAATTAAGTCATGTTTCTCACTTTCAACACTTTCCATAACGACCGTCTCCAGTTGCTGATGGTGGCTTCCTTGCATACCACATATACAGGGCCTGCATGCTTGCAGCCTGCCACGCAGAGCACCTGCCAACGTCTGGCTGCTGTTCTCACTATAACTTGAGCGTCAAATTCAGCTTAGTGAACTTGGAGAGAGAGAGAGAAAGGAAGAGCTGAGAGAGCTGAGAGAGGTGAGATAAAGGTGCTCTACAGTTAAGTCTGTTTGAGCGACAACATCCAGAGACCTCACCTGGGATGGGGAGGCATACTCTCTCTTGAGGGAACATACCCACTCTCTCCTTCCACAGGAGCCACACGTACTTGGAAGTCCAAGTAAAGATCCATGGAAGAGAGGTGACTTGGAAGTGAAAGGGGGAGGTGGGAGGGTTTGAAGACCGAGCTGAGACATTAGGCTGAAGGAACTTCCTCGATTCAGAGACATATGTCAACATACCCAATAATGAAAATGAATATGAGGGCCAGGGGAACCTGTGAGAATCAGTCTCAAGATAGAAACACTGAAAGATAAGAGGATGGGACTCAGATTAGGAACTTGGGGAGACAAGAGTGACCAGAAGAGAAGGGATCTTGGGTCATCAGCAGCTTGAAACATGCCCAGTATTCTTAGAAAGGCTGGTGTATCCCCACAAGCCATGGGGGAACTGCTGGCACTTATCTGGACTGGTCCTGAAGGATCTATCTCCCTTTTCTCTGAGCTTGGAAGTGAATTCTGCAGGGATGACACTGTCTTTCTTTCTCCCATGATATCTCTATCCCTAGCCACTTGTACCTTCTTCTTCACAATAAAAAATAAACATATCAATATTCACTGTGCTACCAATATCAAAGGTCAGTTTGTGTTCTCTGCCCACCCCTTTCGGTCATCCATTAACTCATTCTAAAAATACAGCCTCACATTGTGGTTTGTGACAAGGCTTGCAGAATATAAGGATGGTAATGATATGATGTGATTGAAGGAATCAGATAATTAAGACACGAAGTGCCAAGTGTTCATGTCACTTAAGGATGGGACAAAGGATAGAACCATGTTTCTCTGGCTTTGAATCTAACTACCCGCCCCCCCAAGGGGCTTCCGTCCATACCCCAGTATATCATGTGAAATTGTAGCCAGAAGAAGCTCATATCCCCTTTATCTACATCACTTGCTTATTCTTTTCTTACCTCTGCTACCCTTCCGTCAACATCTCTCTGGGTAGGCCCAGGAAATGAGCTAGACAAGTAAAGCCCAAGGGGTACACTTTGCTATATACCCCAGCTTGGTGGCGAAATAGTGAATCTCAGCCGACAGAGGCTTCATGTCCCACAGTAAGATCCCAGCTTTGTGATGGGCAAGACAGAACTAAAGACATCCTCCTTTGTCTTAACATTTTAGTAATGTGTTTTTTGCTGAGTTCCTCTATTTCACTGCTGCTGCTTCTCTGCAGTTTTAACTTATAATGAGAAGCTTCCTGGTGTTATTTTTCACAGAGGGTGCCATTAATATTTTAGCAACTGTGGTACTGGTGCAGGATGACAACCAGGAAATAGCCTCAGTTGGGTACGTGTGGAGCCCAGCAGGAAGGGAGACAAACAATACTGATTGACTTACTTGATACCCACATCCATGGTGGCAACAGAGAGCTGGAGGAGGATGGGATGTGGGATGGAGAGGCCCATGGCTGGGAGGAACTGTCGGGAGACTGTGAAACACACAAGTCAAGGAAATAACAGAAGGTGATCCAGTAAGGGGAGACCGTGCCAACCGGAATAAAAGGAACTTTCACAAAAAGAAAAACCACCCTTTGTATGCAAGCCAAGGATGGCAACAGGAAAGATAGCATCAGCTTGGTTTGGATATGGATCATTTACACTTTATATTTATTATCTGTCCATCAGCAAGAACTGAACAATAGGAGCAAGTCCCAGATCTGACGAGGTTTTGGTCTCAGCTCCCTTCTTTCCACTAACCTTCTCTACATGTCTTGAACATGAAAACTGCTTTGACATGTCTTGGACATGAAACCTGCCTTTTCTAGGTCAAATGTCTAAAATGAGGATATTTATCTAGGTCAGTGTTTTTCAACCTTTCTAATGCTGTGACTCTTTAAGACAGTTCCTCATGTTGTGGTGACCCCTAAGCATAAAAGAGATTCTCCTTTAACGGGGCCTACATGGACTAAGGAAATAATTGGCCTTGAGAGCAAGTGAAACAGAAAGGTGAAGCTGAGAAAATGGAGTCCAGATCTGGCCTCACTGAAGGAGCAGAAACACTATGGACATCACACCAGACCCTGTCACTTCCCAGCATCAAATCTTGGCCAAATTACCCACCTTTCTTGATTCTATTTCTTTACCCATAGAGATAAGTCCCGCATCGTGGGACTTGTTACAAAAATTAAATGCAATCACACAATGATTGACATGTAAGAACCCAATAAATGCAGGAAACGAGAACAGTGTGCATATACATAGAAGTACACTTTCTCAGAAAACAAGATCTTAATAGGAGTTGTTTTAACTTTTCCAGTGACAGGAAAAACAGGTGGGACGTAAGCTTGTCTCTTAGTCACTCATTCACTCATTCATCTGTCCAGTGACTGAAACAATAAATTATTACATGCTTATTATAAACCAGCCACTGAATAAGGTACAGTTTCTACATTTTAGACTTTAAAATTTAGAGGATCATGAACTAAATGAATGAGGTGAACAGCACTGTGGTATAGTGGTTAACATAGCCACCTTCTAAAAATCAAAAAAACCAAAACATCATAATACAGTTTCCTAGGTCAAGGGCAAGTGGCATTTCAATAGAGGGACGTGAAGGTTTAAGATGAGGAAGTGGCGCTTCAGATAGCAGAAGCAGCAGAATGATGAGTGTAAAGCAATCTATGAGCTTAAAGAGAATCTCCTAAGAAACAGGCCTCACCAAAGGGGTCTTGGAGGCTCAGCATGCAGCCATTATGCCCTAAGCAAGAACTGGTAGCTCTTATCAACACCATAAGGCATGCCATTACATGTGTGTGTTATTGAGATTTATTATATTTCCCTGAACTCTTGGCCCATGATATCTAAGGAAACGGGGATCACACACACACACACACACACACACACACACACACACACACACACACAAACACAAAACACACACACACATGCACACACACTTGTATATGCACAGTTTTCCTGTGTGCTCCCTTCATCTTGCCTCTTTATACACACATTTTCTCTTTAGACTCCAATTTTTTAACTCAGACATAAATTTGACAGCATGAAGCAGGGAGGCAAGTGGGGGCAGGGAAAAATTAGAATGGAGTATGATACACCTGTATGAAAATGTCATAATGAAACCCTTATACTGTGTGCTAACCTCAAAAATCTTGGAGTAAATTTTTAAAAAGATGTCTGTGGCTGATGAGAGAGGGAAAATCTGTCTTCCTAATTATTTATCGAATACTAAATGGTCAGCCCTAAAAATATATCCACGTGAGCAACACTAGGTGGACTCAGCGCAGCAGGTTGTATTTATATATTTATGTATGTGTATCAATATAAGAACAATAATTAAAGAAAAAAGAAGGAAACAGTAGAGATAATAAAAGTAGGAAGGAGGGCTTGGCGATAGAGGGAGGGGAACAGTGGGACATGGAGCAGAATATCCCAACAGGGATTGAGGGTGATCGAAGTGTTCTACATGCATGCATGCAATGCCACAATGTAGCTCATTATTCGTGCAATTAATAAATGCTAGTAAAATGTTAGCAGATATTGAGTATCAGCATTTCCTTGATGCCTCCAGAAGAATGCACTCTGACCAAAGACTTAGTGAATGCACAAATAAAAAAGAAAGAAAAGAAAAGAATACTTGAAATTCTAGACATGTCCATCTTCTGCAAACATTCTTGCTCATGGATTTTTTACTGTCTACCAGGGCCCCTCCCTGTTGGTTAGAGTTCTCCTGCCTGGCCCACAGTCAGGACAAATCTTCGTCACCCGCCAGTCCCACAGCCATTCAGACCCAACCAAGTAAACACAGAGACTTATATTGCTTACAAACTGTATGGCTGTGGCAGGCTTCTTGCTAACTGTTCTTACAGCTTAAATTAATCCATTTCCATAAATCTATACCTTGCCACATGGCTTGTGGCTTACCAGCATCTTCACATGCGGCTTGTCATGGTGGCGGCTGGCAGTGTCTCCCTCACCCAGTTTCCTGTTCTCTCAATTCTCCTCTCTGTTAGTCCCGCCTATGCTTCCTGCCTGGCCACTGGCCAATCAGTGATTTATTTATTGACCAATCAGCAACACATTTGACATACAGACCATTCCGCAGCACCTCCCTCTACCATCATGCCTACAGAGGCTCTATTCACCAGACAAAATATTGTCCAGTGAACCCCATACTGAAGCAGTTATTCATCTCATGGTGGTCCACAGAATAGAGTCCATATGATCAGCTGCATTCACCTTCCATATAAAGCCTCTCTGAGTTTTAATTAAATTAGTTCTGCCTAGTTGTTTATTGGAACCACACTGTTAAGGACTTGAGTATCTTCCTGGAATCCACAGTCAGCGAGGAGGGACAAGTGCAGCTATTTGCAGAACCTGTGTGTACTGACTAGTTTTATGTCAACTTGACCCATGCTGAGGGAGCCTCAGTTGAGAAAATGGAGAAAATGCGTCTGTAAGATCAGGCTGTAGGCAAGCCTGAAGAGCATTTTCTTAATTAGTGATTGATGGGGAAGGGCCCAGCCCATTGTGGGTAGAGACAACCCCTGGGTTGGTGGTCCTGGGTTCTATAAGAAAGCAGGCTGAGCAAGCCATGGGAGCAAGCCAGTAAGCAGCACCCCTCCATGGCCTCTGCATCAGCTCCTGCCTCCAGCTTTCTGCCCTGATTGAGTTCAAAGCATTGTAAGGAATAATAACCTATTCACACAGCCAAGATTGTCATGAGACTTACAGCTTTTTGTAATCTTAAAAACTGAAAACCAGGGGTTAAGAACACTGATTGTTCTTCCAAAGGACCTGGGTTCAACTCCCAGCACCCACATGACACTGTAACTCCAAGATCTGGCACCCTCACGCAGACATACATGCAGGCAAAACACCAATACACATGAATAAATAAATTATTTTTAAAGACCCTGAAAACCAACCAAATCTCTATTAACGTTCAAATGTACTTAGGAGATGCCACTGAGCTTGCTAACCATTCACACCCATCGTCTTGTGGCCTCCTTGTTTCCTTCACCAAAGTACCTGTCTGCATACTCAGCTCGGTAAGTTACATATGTGAATGAATGGCTAACAGTGACAAAGGCCGAAGAGAAGTTTTGCAAAACGCAGGGCTGCATGACCCAGTGCTGCATGACCCAGTGAATAAAGTGCTTGTCCAAGGAGTATGAGAACAAGAGCTCAGATTCCCAGAACCCATATAAATGCTGGGCAGGTGTGGCTGCCTGCCTTTAATCCCAGCACTTGGGTGGCAGAAACAGGATTCCTAGGGCA